AAAAAAAAAAAAAAAAAAAGTCAGATGCACAGGCAGGCTCCAAGCCCATCTTCGAGGAACAGTGCAGAAATGACCACAAGAGCATCTTATGTTTACTCTTCTTCTGCTTTACTGTCTGGCAGTGAGGCAGGGCATGGGGAAGCATCTTTTATGAGTGTCACTGAGCATCACAGTAATAGAAAGGATACTGCTCTCACGGTTCAGTCATGACAGGAAGCACTCCCAGCTCTGCACTGTAAGCTTTAGGGACATCAAGGTAGGCACTGGTTGTGGTCCCATGCACAGATGAGTAGATGGAGATAGCATAGCTGATGAGAGGATGAAAGCTACCCCACACTCCTTTGGTGGTTAGCCAGGGAGGGCTAAGGACACCCTATGGTTCTGCTCAGAAAGCCAGATGGAAACATGGCAGGGTGGGGTTCAAGTTGGCTGGCCCAGTGTTTCTTGTACCTGGTTAGTAAGTTCTCAGAAAGCAGAACTAAGTATGACATGCCCCACCTCCATTCCCTAGTTCATGGCCTGGAGCCAGACCCTGTTAACTGTACATGGCCACAAATCAAATTCAGTCTTCCTGACAGGTCATAGTGCCTCTTGGAGAGAAGAATGCCTCTTTCCAAGTGACTTCTCAAAATGTTGGACAAGTGACTGTTTATCTACATGGAAATCATTCCAACCAGACCTGGTAGGCTGGCGTCCGCCCCCACCCCTCTGGCCTCATGTAACAGGAAGGGTGGCCATGCACAGATGTGCACTGGGGCTTCCTCCAGAAGCTTCACCTGACCCAAGTCCCTTTCTAGCCCCAGGATTCGGTTCTTGGTGATACACAGCAAAATCATTAGCATCATAAACCAGGTGATTGGCTGGATCTACTTCATGGCCTGGTCCGTCTCCTTCTACCCACAGGTGATCCAGAACTGGAGGCGGAAAAGGTAACTTGCTCAGCTTAGCGCTCCCTGCAGACCCTTGTGGGGGTACAGGAAGTCACCCCTCTATACTTGTCTCTGCCTGCTAGTAGGGTGGGGTTTCCTGTGCTAGGTATTTGGTTCCTTGCCCAGCTTGGCTCTTCCCTATGGGAACAATGACATGGAGCTTAACTAAACCAAAAATAGGCTGGTTAGAGAAAAGTCTGCCCTGAAGCTCCTTGGCCCTGGAAGGCTGGGCATCACATCATGCAACCTTTAGCCCCAGAGAATAAGCCTTTTTGACTTGAAAGATAAAATCAAAGTAGACCTGGGTGGAAGGACACAGCTCCCCTGTCTTCTCACTGTCACGTGGGTCTCAGGTCTCAGGAGACTGCCAAGCAGTGAGACAGGGAAGTGGGTGCTGTCACTCCCCTAAAGGCCTCCAGGAGAAACCTCTGGAGTGTGGGAGGGGAGGAGGGAATTGGCTTTCAAGAGGGCCAGTTGGGTGGCATCAGCCATGGTAATGGAGAGGCCTCTAAGGATGGTGCTGAGGCCTCCTTTCCCATATACTAGGAGTTATGTCCCCTCCCAGGGGATTCCCACCCTTCCCCTGCCTTACCTTTTTTCCCCTCTACCCCCTGCAGTGTCGTTGGTCTCAGCTTTGACTTCCTAGCCCTGAACTTGACAGGCTTCGTGGCCTACAGCGTTTTCAACATTGGTCTTTTGTGGGTGCCCTGCATCCAGGTACAGCACTGCTCACTCCCTACAGCCCATCCAAAGCTCCTGGGTGACTATGCTTCTCTTCATCTCTCAGCTTCTCCTCACCCCCCAACAGGAGCAGTTTCTCCTCAAATACCCCAACGGTGTGAACCCTGTCAACAGCAATGACGTCTTCTTCAGCCTGCATGCAGTTTTCCTCACCCTAATTGTCATCCTGCAGTGCTGCCTGTATGAGGTAAGCGATGAGGTCTGGTGACCTGGCCTGCCACTGATGTCCCCCACCCCACTCTACCCACATGACCTAAAGGGATGGTGACATGATGGCCCCCAGCCTTCTGTGGCTGAGTGGATTGGGGTGGACTTTCCTATCCTGTCCCTGGCTTAACTGAGGGAGTATATCAGGAAAATAGTGTTTTCATGGGCCAAGGTTGAGTGAGGTTTTTGGTAAAGGGGAAGGCAAGGTCATTCACCATGGCGTGAGGGAGGCTGTGAGGTGATGGGAATGGCCAGGGTGAGTGTTGCCTGTGGGGAGCCAACTCCTGGGAGGTCAGGAGGAACCAGGATTTGGCTCTGTTGCTGAAAAGCTACCTGGGGTCTCAGCCTTGGACAAGGCATGTGTTAAAAAATCCCAGTGTTAGCGGGTGGTGGTGGCAGCGCACCCACCTTTAATCCCAACAGGCAGAGGTGGGTGGATCTCTGTGAGTTTGAGGCCAGCCTGGTCTAC